GGTGTGAATGACAAAGACGGCAGTAAATCACAATTTCATAATAGCCATTACCTCCATGAGCTGTTATCAATAAGATATATTTTGAGCACCACCTAAACCTTAGGTCCATAATATATTATCTAATTGATTATGTCAGCAGGCTCTCCAGCGCCTCCACGAACAATATAATAAGTGCATTCTGCTGCATTTTGCGATATTAGCACCCAAATTGTAAGACTAGACTAGCGAGTGGCTTTGCGGAGAAGATGCGGTAATCTTCTTTATTTATAGAATAGAGTAGACCTTTGAGCAGTATGTTAGAGTATTGTGTGCCAACAATGACATTCAATCCAGGATGACAAACGAATGTCAGGAACGCCACTATCCTTTCACACTTTGCACAAAATCAGGCACAGCTCTGTAGGAAAACCGCAGCAAAACCTCTCTATTCCAGGGGCACATTCCAAAAGCCCGTGGTACTTGAGGCCCTTACCGTAAAAGTACAATATCAGTAATTGTTGGCAGTGGACTTATTAGGAAGTGTTCCATTAATACCACAGGTTACGGTACCGTAAAGAACAGATCCCTCACAGTAAATTACCCACGGAAGTTACAACACCGGAAAACCGCATCCCGCACTATCAAACTTGATGCCGGGCAAAGGTGCCTTTTTCCATGTTGGAGGAAGTGCGGATTACTTAAGTTTTTCTGCGACAACCGGATCTCAGATAACCAACCTGCAGAGACAAGAGGACGGCTAGACAAAGGGCTTAAAGATGAGACTCTGACAGCAACGTGAGGAAGAACTCGCGCAGGAGGGTGCTAGCAAGGAGGCTCCATGCTAGATTCTTGATGCTCTCCTGGTAAATACCGAGGGTTAGTTGTGTATTTAGAAGCTTGAACTGGGCTTTATTCCCCCTACCTCCTCCCCCGCCTCCGTGTGTGAATACTCTCCCCCTCCTTACATCTCTATTGAGATCTATAGTGTTTTCTGCACCAGGTCGGCTAACGGCGTCCGGGCAGTTTACGGTAAGGAACCGTACATAAGGAACCGTACTGTTGGACATCAGATGGCTTGCGCGCACATTACTACTAATTGCGTTGACAACTCCCCCGAAGCGGCCAGCCAGTCTCTGACCTGTATCTATAGACCCGTCTAGCCCGCAGAAATCAAGAGGAAGAACGCTTTCTAGAGAAACCTTTCCAGAGAAGCCCCTCCCATCACTGTACCATATTGTGTCGTGTAATTCGCCATGTAAACTCACGGTTCAAACCCTATACTATCAAGTGATCACACATGAGCATTACCCAAGTCCCAACCATTTTGGCCCATGGTTCCGATAACTTATGCAGTAAGCTGATAAGAAAAGTAAAATAAAATACAAAAAACAAGTTGGATGTACAGTACACTCCATGAACATAGTTTCACATATCGCGAGCTAGAGAATCTATCGCCTCCATGGCGTTTTGTGAGTCACCCTGCCCAAAGGCCCCACCAATTTACCAAATCCCGACACCATATTCCAAAGGACCACGCGAGACACAAGGTCAAGGATAAACCTCAAATAATTGATCCGAAACTTCTTGCCAGACCCGTACTTCCCTCGGCAATTCTACCCTCATACTATGATACTAAATCATTCCTCCTCATAGACACTAGTGAACAGAACCCCCAGCCATGACCCCTGATGCCCGCCACAGCTCGGTCGAAACGGCGAAAGTGGCCGCTGTTGCCAATTACTATATTCTCACCAATGACACATATCCTGTGACCACCGCTCGTTAGCGGACTTCACACAGCTCTGTAGTGCGATCCCATTCGGTATATTTGGCCATTTAAAAGGTCTCTGGACGCTTCGTATTTGTCATCATCTGTCTTTGCGCGAGTGCGTCCGGAGACTTTCGAAATTGCCAAGCAGTGATTGCCGGCTAAAAGCCATTCCTCACTTCCGGTCCCAACGCGCGCTCCGGTAAAAATGGGTCGACCCGTTTCAACTTCTCCAGGTGCAGCGATATATCGATAAGGCGTAATCATGAACCCGGGTGCGTTTCGTGGAAAAACGGCCCATTTCGCGTCCATGGCGACCTCAATGATCGGTGTGGGGGTTTCTGACTAAACAACGTTTGCTGAACGGTCGCTCTTTTCCCTTCCGCCCCAACTTCACCGTGACACATATCACAGCGCCCAACACCATCTATATATCGTTCCTACCGGCAAAAGAGAAGAAGCCGACCTCTCCAACACCGTATCTTCACGTATATATAGGCCAATTTCCATACAGGGAGACACCTCCACTCTCCCCGCGGGTGGCCGAGAGACCACTATTACAGTATAATAATATTATTATGAGAATAAGTTGAGGCCAAGACAACAGCGAAACCGGCTACGACCACCCCATCGAGCGAGGCGATCCCGAGATCCCGGTATCATAAGAAACTCTCCCGCCGCAGCCGAGGGCTATCCCACACCAAGCCCTCACCACGATACCCGGAGGGTTGTATCGGAAATGATCTTCGGGTAGGTCCACCGCCCATTCATTTCTTCCCCATATCTCCCCTCTTACGATATAAATACGCTCCCATGAGCCCAACCGCATCTCCGCCATATACACCCCAACGCGCGTCCATGATCTGATCGCAAATACTTTCCCCCCTCACATCACCGAAGCTCGGAAAACAAGATCGAAGAACTCACCAAAGTCCATGGCAAAAGCGAGACGAAAACTACCTACCGACCAGACCCAGTTCTGCATACTCTCGTATCTACATCCCCCCTCCCACATTTGGTAATAATACAGAATCTTAACCACTGAGCATCACTCGCCTCTACCATTCTAACCTATTGAAATTTGAAAGTCGAGAATGAGAGGTAGGGCAGCAATGGCAGAGTAATCCGGATCGAGAGAGAGCGAGGGCGGAGAGGTGCCCAAGTTGCCCAATTTTATATTCAATACACACGCCTATATGGCCACCCTACTCTTCTCAATCAGCCGAGCGTAAGCAGCCGCGTCCGGAAAGTTCCCATACCCCGCCAGGTACTACCAACTCTTGGAAACGCTTCACAAGTTACTGATTCAGCCAGAAGCAAATTTTGACAAATCTTTACAATACCCCTAGACATTCGAGAACAATCATCTAAAATAACCCCGTTGCACAAGGAAGAGCACGATAGTCGAGTAGGAGAACCTTACAGAGGCGGCCATATACACCGATACGCCACCGTTCATTTCCAGAACGTACTGAATGCGATGGCAGGTGGCAGGTAGGAAGGTATACAGGAACACGCCCGCGACTCTCCACACAATGAACACTTTAGACAAAAATATCCACAGCAGTGCTCTCCAAGTACCGTAGAAAAACGCCAAACATTGAAGTCTCCATCTCCACCAACAATAACCGTAATAATCCACAATGGAATGGCGCTAAGACGTCCAGAATTTCCCCCCCGGATTAGTGGGAGAAGAAGAAAAAAACTACTCTCAATCATTTTTGTTTTTGCGCCATCATATGTACCGGACTTCTCCTTTTCCCCCTTGCAGTCTACTCGTATATACAGTACCGTAACACCGCAAACCCGCCACATCCAACTGCGGTACCAGTACCCCCGCGGAAACCCCCTCCTTCCAATCATCCGCCCAGAATATCATACTCGTACCTGTACTCGTACCTCCACTTCAACAATGGCCAACTCCAACACAGTTCCACCGACCAATCTACCCAACAAACAAATAAGCAAACAAATAAGCAAACGAATAAGCTTTTCTCCGCCTGATGACTGTGGTACCGCCTCACAACTCCCCTGTAGGGAAAGCCCAGGGTAAAAGTCGCCCGGGTACTCGTACAAGTGCCACCCCCTTATTATAGGAACAAGGTACGATGACAAGGAAGGGCTACCGGAACACAGCGCAGGAACCATGATACAAGTAAAGTAAAACCCCGCAGCGAGCGGGCAAGTGAACACCCGATGACAAAGAACAACGGAATTTTCGCCGTTGGCCGGTAGTGCGAATTATACTTATACCCGGCGGCGAGGATTGGCTTCGCCGCAAGCAAATACAAGTAAACAAACGAACAGGTGAAGTATACGGTATGCGGTACGTAGGGAGGGGGGGGGGTATACCATGGATCATGGAACTTTTGAAACCACGCTAGAACAAATACGGCAATAACCATTCCCCTCCCCTTTCCCGGTGGGGGAAGTGTGCTCATGGATTTGCTATTCATATCGTACGGTTCCTGCAGATGTGCACAGCAACCGGTAGATGAAACAGAGCATACAAGTAGACAAGTGGGTTATGTACCAGGGTATCGTGGTATAAATACTCTAATCCATCCTTCTCCTTTCCGCTCGAGTTACAAAAGATTACGGTAACACGAACGCCAAACTGCCAATTGAGGGCATTGCTGTGTGCTACCGGTACTGTGCTGTTCCAGCCATTCTTACAAAATTTAATGAATGAATAACTGAATGATTAAACAACAGCGGCTAAATTCACACAAACTCACTCACTCCTCTTTCGCTCGTTCATTCGTTCGTACGGTCCTTGTAACTTATTTCCTTTTTTTCCCCTTTTTGGCGAGTATCGCAAGGTACTGTACTTGTACTGTACTGTACTGTACTCGAGTGCGGTACCTGTATCAGAAGTCAAACCCCCCCCCGTCGTCCAGTGGGTGTGACTCGACTCGACTACCGTACTTCTACTCGTACCGGCCAATTAAATCCCGGTATGCGTCACACACAAACACTATCCAAACTTGGAATTTCTTTTTGAGTGAGGCATTTGTTACACCGTGGAATACCGCATCCGGTACTAGTAGCATTTACTGGTGTGGTTCAACCCCTTAAATGGTTTCCATCGTGCAGTGCTAACGTTATGCGATGCAGCGGTCCGCTGGTATGACAATTTCGAAGCTCGGTTTGCCATACAAGTGACAATAATCGGTTATCATAGGAAATATTACCTCCACCTGCAATGTAAAAAAATATGATCCGGAGAAAAACGAACCCAGATATTTATATCGCAAAAAAAAGACAAAGATTTCATCATTAATTTAAATCACCAGTTCTCAAGTGACTTCGTAGTATCCGCCCGCGACTCCTGTCGAAAGATATAAAAAGGAGGTATAATAACTGCAATCCAAAAATATAAAAATGAAAAAAAAAAATGTATCAAACAAAAATCTCCAAAATATTCAAGCCGAATGCGGAACTATTAGGGTATGTATGTGGGTAGTAGAATTGAACGGAATGAAAATGCCATCCCCTTTAGAACTCTATTTGACAGGTTATTTTCGAAGAGAAAGAATGTAATAAGAGCCCGGAAATTGCTCGCGTTCAACCATGTCCCCAGCGGGCCAAAAGATATTTCATGTTCCACGTGGCAAGAGCTTCTCTTTTAAAGAGGATAATAATAAAAAAGAAAAATCATATCTCCGAGATTTCTGTTCTTCTCCCCTCGCTTCGAAAAAATAATCGTTCGTTAAAGGTTTTGGAAAAAGACGGTCTTACAAGAGAAGAGCTGTGGATGACTTCGAGTTAGCTATGATGGAGGAGAGGGCATTAGAAGTAAAACGCACCGAGCCCAGCGACCATGACGACGAGCATGACTCCACCAACACGGACCTTGTCACCGGCGCCCGGGGACACGGGAATGACGGGGATCGACGGTTTGGTAACGTTGGTGGAAGGAATGGCAGAAGGGTACCCAGTTGGGTTGGCGAGCTTGGTGGCCGTACCATTCCATGCCGGGCTCGTCCAAACAGCCGCCGGGGTGGTATAGGGCTTGCCAGGGCAATTGGTGACTGTAGGTCCGCACGAGGTGACAGTGACCATAGATGTGGAGTAGAGGACAGTTCCACTGGTGACGAGTCCACCAATGGCAGTGGGGTAGCCTGAGGAGACGGCGTAGGTAGGAACTGAATGAGTGGGTACGAGGGAAGAAGTGCATGAGGTAGAAACTGAAGAAGTGGGCGGGACGGAGAGCGGGTACAGGGGCGGAGCGGAAGACGAAGAGGAACCCATGTAAGGGTTGGAGTTGGAGACACCGAATTGAGTGGTGTATTGGTATTTTCCGGTGGCATCGTCAATCAGCTGGATCCCATAGCGGGAGACGTCGGCCTCGAGGTCGGTGGCCGGGGTCCAGGTGTAGGTACCAGTGTTGGGAGCCATCTCAACGATGGGGTAGAGAGGAACAACATTGTTAGAAGGACCACGTAGGAGGAGGAGAGTGACGGTTCCTCCAGTGGTAGGCTGCGAATCAATCAATTAGCGAATGCCCAAATTTGCTCAAAAGTATTCTGTTTTTGAAAAACCCACATTCCAGGTAATGGTATAAGGAGAGCCAGCTGGGACAATCTCGCCGAGCCCAGGCTTACTGATTGGGTTTCCCTCTGTGGTGTCTCCGACTGGAGTGGTGTAGGCATTCGCGAAAGTAAAGGCGGCGGCCAAGACAGTGAAAAGAGCGTATTTCATTTTGAAGTTGGAAGCGAAGAAGAAAAAATCAGTAATGAGTGTGGGGCAGTTGGAGCACGGCAAAGATTGGATGGTGAAAAGAAAGAATTTCAAAGATGTTGCTTTGCGTGAGAGAAATACGGTGAGGAAAGGGAGGAACGAAAAGGGGGGGGTGGAGTTGGTTTTATGGATGGGTTGCATGAGGCGCCCACCCCTCAGTACCCTCCTCACCTTGTCCTCCTTTCTCAAAATGTCACGACTGATCAGGCTGAGATTACTTACTGGACTAGGGTCAGAGGTTATACGAGCGACTGGGAAATTTGATGTGTGGAGAGGCGGCTTAGCACTGGCACCATCAGTTGGCGTAAATAACAATAAACTCACGATTCCCTCAATACCCCTTACCATGCCTACTACTTGAGTACCGTACCGGTACTGTGCTTGTACGATACCGACCCCCCCCTCATACAAGTACTTTAAGAGTACGCTACCCATCCGCCTCCCAGCGCGAGACGACAGGGAAAAGAAAAATGGACAAACTTCCTTAATCCTTTATCCATGATACCCATAGTACTGTACCCGTACAGTAAGAGACTTGTAAAAAAATTAGCAACTCGTACAAGTTGCTTCCGCTCAGACTCGAGGAGAAAACTATTCCAGGTCACCAACACCCCCACCTCCATCCCACTGGCGTTCAATTTCACGAACTGGCATTGCGCGATGGGTTTTGCCTACTTGTACCGTACCGGTATGACTCTGTGCTGGTCGAGACATTTTAGTGCGGGTTTTTCCCCTGCGAGTTTGGAAGCGAATTGTTCGGACCATGTTTTTCCACAATAAAAAGGGGAGCTATTATGATATATACCTGATCCAAGCTGAGTCAAGTGCAACAACGGTAGTCTCTGCGCCCAGTCGCAACCTTGGCAAATCTCTTGTCGCGATGACCAGCGATTGACAGGCACGCTCCCCCTTTCCGCCACAACCTTTGTGTGAAGACCCCGTCCGGTGGGACAGGCTCGTGGAGCGATGGAGACTTCCCCAGCCCACTGTCTCAACCCCGTGACGATGCAGATGGGTTGCGCCCAGCTTCTTCCCCGCGCTTCACCTCATCCAACAAATGCTGTCCGTCAGGTTTTTCCCCTAATGGGGCACCAAATACTGTGATCCACACAACGACTAACAATCCAGAAACGAAAATGAAAATTAAAAATCCCCAAAGAAAGAAAAAAGGGTCAAAGGTCCTTATTATCGATTTCGAGGGGGGGTCGTCAGTCTGGCAGCTCGACCACCCTCTCTCTCAAAAAAATTTCCCCTCGACGCCACACCAGGGGTTCAGGTTGATTCTCTACTCGAGTAACGGAGAGAGAGGTAAAGTTTAAAGCCGGAATACGGTAAGGCAAGTGGGCCGTGGGAAATTGTTCGGGGGGGAAAAAAATCCTCGTGAATGCAGCACCCATGACCTTTTCGAAAATCGATAATATCGGGAAATTCAAGGGGTCGCCTAATGTCTGTCCTCATTTGGCGCATGCAGTGAGAGACATCCATTATCCCTGTGGAAAAGAAGTGATGAGCCTCTCATCCAATCTCTGGCATCACGCTAACTTAACCGCGTTCAGGTTAGATGCACACCAGTAACCACTCAATTGTATTCGAGCGGCCCCTCTCCTGCCCTTGCCTCTTGCCTGGATTTAAGGTTTGCTATTAAAATTACCGCACCAATTATGAGTACGGTATCGTGCAGTCACAACCCGATGCCCCGGAGCTTGATAACCTGGACATGGTCGTCTCATCTGGATTCTGAATTCCAAATTCCTTTACACAAAATCCGACCGGACCGAATCGCTCGCTACTTGTATACCAGGTTCTTCCCATCTCGGCCGTCCGGGATAGTGGCGCGCGACTGCAAACATCTACGAGTACTGTACTCGTAGAGACTATTTGGGGGACGAAAACGAGCCAAGACCGTGTCACCAATGGGAGCTTGTCCCACCTGTTTCCGGTTCCTGGTAAACCTCTGAGCCAATCAGCAATGACGCCCGGAAATTACATCATCTTGGTATCCCTGGCGTCCACGTCCAAGAACAATCTTCCCAGCAAGGGCCCATTAGTCATTCCAGTAAAGTAACTAGAGCTCGTCTCAGAGTGATGTCTGATGATGCCTCAGATTAAAACCCAATGCGGCTCTAGCGCTAACGGAGCCTAATGGTGCTCGAGTATTGATTACGGTAGACTATGGTACGGTACTGGTACGAGTACAGTACGGGTAGCAAGGCAGGCATCAGACCTCTTTGGCTTCCTCGATATCACGACAACCATAACATGAAGCTCCTTACCGCTTGGTTAATCATCACGATCTAATTCCAGGGGCGGTACCGCTAGTCTCATAGACACTCGGACCCTAGGGTACCATATCGGTACCAGTACTCGAGTGTTCATGCAGGTACAATGGGTAAAGTGTCTTTATGGGGAAACTGCATCATAACAATGATACGTTTCATAAATATTTTCGAACGGGAAGACATTATTCGAGCACCGTACTATAAGCTGATAGTGATTCTTATTTCCCAAGGGAGCGATAAATCTATTTACCCCACTCACCAATATGAACGGTCGAGTAAGAAAAGCTCAATATAGGCGATACAATGCTTCCTACTGAAATATCGGTAAGTGCACAGGCGGCCCCACCAAATAGCCATCCCGGATACCCGGCATGGTACCGCGTATCGGTAACAATTTTTATTTCGGCTAGGCGGCGCACCGGGTTCCAAATAAGCTCCCTCGACGGAATTAATTCCGTACCGTACCGTATACCGCCACGGATTAATACAAGTACCGGTACAGTAATTTATTATCCCTGTTTGCCGACCCGTAGGAAATTTACAAGTACTGCAAGCTCCTACCGGTAAACCACAGGCAACTGCGACCAACTTCAAACTCCTCTACCGGTAAGTCAAAAACAACCCATAGGCTCAAAATCTCCTGTAAAAGTCTTTACTTCATGGTCGTCTAGAGAATTACAGAGGGATTTAAGGAAATACTGACTTGCTACAGTGCTAGAGTGGTTCAAAGTTTGTGATTTTTGCATGAGGGCCGGAGAAATCAACACGGCAAAAGCTAACCTTATCAAGTAATATCTTGGCAACATTATGCCTAATACGGTAATATATCTCACCGATCATTGAACAGTGCTAAACAATCGAGCCTAATTAGGAAAGTTATCACCGCTTAGTAAGCGACTGCGAATTAACGCAGGTGTCGATTGGCTGTGTCCGGCATTATACTCGAGCAGCGGTGTTTCGTGGGGTCGGCCTTTCGGTCCGACCTAGCCGGAGATCCCAAAACGCCTGGGACCGGAATGCTTACCTTCCCGGGCCCGCCTGTAACATGGCCTACGGTGGTGAAGAGGGGTACCGTATTCTGTGTGGAAAGTGTAGCCCAAACTGTGTATATATCACCCCGGAACGCATTTGTCCTGCCTTTACTGGGGGATGTTAAACTTAAACCTTAAAAGGGGTTACTCTTTAATTGAGCGAGGTTTCCCCATGCCGTATAAAAAATAAGGATATGGACTCGGTCATACTCGGATTTCTAGCAGACCCCATTTCTACCACGGCTGACGACGCCAACTACTGATTGTGTTTGTCCGAAAGCGTTCACTACAACCTACCGCCAGTAAGACTGGGGTAGTACCTTCTATTTTTATTCTTAACCAATGTTTTCTCCCTCCGCATCGATACCCCCCCACCTTTCGAAGTATTGTCCATGATACAGCACTTGTCATGTTTCGGCAATAACCGAGACTATTCCCCCTCCACGAGCAAGTAAAGGTCCCCACAGTGGCGGTTGCATTTTCTGGGGCCGGTAATTGGGTTTGAGCAATCGGGCTTCAGGTACTACCGGTACTCGTAGTACGGTATTCGGGAGGAGTATCTTACTCCCATCAAGCATGATGTTGGCGCCATCTATGATATCGTTCTGGGTGAAACAAAACAAACATAGGGTTAGGGTCCATTAGCCTTGGGGATGGGGATTTCCCGCATCGATCCTTGCGTGGCTTGGGCAGTATGATTCGGGCATGCAGAATTAGAGGTCTACAGTGGAGACATCTACCCCACGTGCTTTTCCCCTTGGACTAACTCATAGGGGAGCTGTTCCTTTGCCCCAATAGGCAGTTTAATGTGGGGTTCTGCAGGTACAGTACCACAGGAATGTCCACAGCGCCAACAAGCTTGGTTACAGTACCGCCGAGTGAAGGTTCACTGCATCTTCAGGGTCGATGGCAATCTTGGGACGCGCCACAAGCCAGCCACCGATACATCAAAAGGGGTTCCAACCCTTGGATTTGTTCCTTTGGAAGCGTGGGTGTGTCGGTTGGCTAGTGGTACAATCACCTACGGACGGTATGATACCGTACCTTACTTTACCAACGATTGACGCTCGATAAATACAGTGGTGAGATTCTGCTCTGTACGAGTACTGGCAGTGCACATTACGAGTTATGTTGCCAGAGAAAGGGCAGGGATGAGTGGGAATTGTGGAATTTGTGAAAATATTTTTTTTACCGTGCCAAGTAAAAGCTCGGTTAACTTAACTTATGCGACTTCGTCAAGAGACAAGTTGATGCGGTATTACGAAAGGGGGCAAAGGAGAATGGTTACCGTAGTTTGGCTTCATCAAAACCAGTCCTCAACTTTTTCACATTCAGCTGGCGATCCCTTCCAAGGTACCATTTGTGGGTTTACTCGAGTGCAGGTACAGTACAGTACTCGAGTAGGTCACTTCCGTTCCTATCCTAATTCTGCCTAATTTAGTTTGAAACAGAGCCAAAAAAGTTCACTGACCAATATTTCTCTTGTGCGTGGGGACCAAAGATGATGTTGCACTCCGAAGCCGAAAATCTCGCCAATGGCAATTGCCGCCGCACTTTCGCATGGTTGTAGTGCGATTATGATAGATTAGCTCAGCTGAGCCTCGGAGAGTTTTGTTGCCCTATGAACCTCGAGACCGAATTTACTTGCGCACGTTCAATCCATAGCGGTATGATACTGGTGAATCGCAAGAGTGGATTACCATTTCATGCATTTCCTTCCAAGCGAATACCGATACACGGTAGACTACCGTACCGGCACCGCAGACGTTTGGTGGTGGAGTGATTAACCTTATCAGTGTTTTGGGCAAAGCTGACACCCGTATTAATAGCACAAACTTGGCTTTAACTTTGTGTGACTGTTTGGAGCACCTGTGGTCCGGGTGAAAAACCCTTTCCCAACCGGCCCAACCTTCTCCCGCGCACATCTCAACACTAAGAAAAATCCAAGTGGACTCCCACACGCGACAGTGGAAGAGCTCACGATAGTGCTCGCGATTCAATATGATTTGATTTTGAGAACGCTATAATACTTTAATATGATAACTCCTAGAGATTGTGCCCTTGGACACTGTACGGTACCCCAGGACGGGCGAGTAAACAAAGCCCAAGCCCAATCCCAATTCCCAGAAAAAACACCAACCCCAAAAACAAAACGCCCAAACCCAAACCAAAAACCCAATCAGTCAATAACTCAATCACACAAGCGCGCACCGCCCCACTCAGACAACCGCGACCAAAACCGCAACCGCAATCCCCCCAACAACCCTCCTGAACATGCCCTCCCCGTCCGCCGCCGTCGTCCGGTTCGCGCGCATCTCCCCAACCCCCCCTCGTTCCGGAGCCGCCGGCGTCGGTGGCGAGAGCGAGAGCTTGTAACTACCGAACGAGGCATTCATCATCAGTCATTATCGCCTCCGGCCGAATGGCACGGGAAGAAACCTGGAAGGGGAGCGTAAGACTTACTCCGTAACACCGGGATCCACGTCCTTACACACCGGCGCTGGTACCCCGGCGCCCTGAGCGAGGATGGCGAACGGGTGAAGGAGAAGGAGGAGGGGGTATTTCAACGTCTTCATTTTTTTGGGTCGGTGGAACGTAGCGTGGTGAATACGATACCGGCTGGTATCGTGGTTGCGGGGGGGGGAGGAGCGGAGGTGGTATAGATAAGAAGGTGGAGTCGGGTGTTGGTGGTGTAATTCCCCCCATCCTGGATGCGGTACGATACGGTTCGCGCGTGTGTGTGTGTGCACGCAGGTCGGGCTACGTATGTTGCTGTGTGGGTGACTCTGCACTTGCTGGTTTATCGTTGCTGTGATTATTATTTATTTTGTGCGGTATTTTGTTTAATGTTGTTATCGTAAGGCTGAGGTTTGGATGCCGTGGCCTACTGTGCCGGCCGGAAGGATATGCCGGACAAGGCGATTGTGCTCCGGCTTGGTGTTGATTCCGGTCGCCATATCATATGCTGCTGTCACTACTCGCATTGCACTTTGTGAAAAAAAGGTATGATACGGTATGGTGATGTGGCTGTGGGCAGGGATGTTGCGGAATGTGGGGATGTGTTGGCGTTGGAGGGGTTTTTCCCACCGCATCTGTTCGTGTCTGCGATACTATACTGAATTGTCGGTGGTCCGGTAAGTTGCACTGTGTTCAGTTTCATAGCTTACCCTTCTGCCGTGTTATTGATTCTGTCTCCTTTCTTGTGGATCAGCGGGGTTGTGGTGCCGCTATCGAGGTTGCTTTGGTGTTTATTTGTGCCGGGTTTAATATACATTCTTCCCGTGCGGGTTGGTAAGTTGTTGACGTGATGTTGGTTTCTGGAATGTTCGTTGCGGGGCCTCACAGTTGGGGAGTTCTACATTGTGCATAGTTGATACGATATCGCACTTTGGCAGAACTGGTCGGCTGTCTTACCGTGGCCGTTTATTCACGACGCATCACTCGCCGCGCGATGACTGCGTCGTCGGTGTTAACTGTGAGCATCCCCTGCCCTCCATCTTACTTCCCTGCATGCTCTCTATATCTGTCTTTGGTAACAGCCCCGGGATTTGGAGTGGCTTTGGGATCGTATCGCCCTGAACCGGATCGGCGGGGAAACTTTTTTTTCCAGTCTATTTGTGCTCGGTACAGTACTGTACAGTACAGCTATCCCTGCCCGGGCCGTGGTAGCCCTATAATCATTAGCAGGCTTAATCATCAACTGAGCGAGGGGACGGATGTTGCTCAGGTCTGTATGATACTGGCATTCGTCCCGATGGTCGGCACGTGGGCGGAACCTCTATCTGCTTTTGGTTCGCTGGGCTTCTTGTAGCCTCGAATTCCACACAAATTTGGTATCTCAATTCCACCGTACAATATCAATGCATGCCGGTATGCAGGTTGGAATCGAAAACCTTGGCTGGGCAACAACATCCAATACTTCCTGTCCATTGCTTGTCGCAGTCGCGGTGCACCTCTCTGAAGTAGATTGTTGTCGGGGAGTGGGGGGGACTTTCTGGTTGGGTAGATTACCGGTATCGTCAACGGCTGGAAGCTTGGATTGTACTTTTTGCAATAGGCGTTGGAGGAGCTAGTATGATAGGATCTTGCTTACTTGGCAAACTATGATACCTTGCTGACCACTGCTCGGCGGATTTGATGGGTTGAGACTCGGATCTGGGGTTATTTCTTTTTGTTCAGTGTCGGGTGTGCCTGATTCCCTAGGGGGGTAAATGGCTAGGGGAAAGAATTTACCTCGACCTCCTGTCGAGGAGGTCCCGATGTCACCGTTAACGAGTTATTGTCTACGTATTTAGAAACCAGGCTGACTTTTGCCATATATCGCATGAATTTCGGGAACCCGATTAAGCTACTTGAAGAAGTTATCCTAGTTTCTCTCACCAATGCAGATTCCAGTATCCATGATGTGGATGACGTGGTCTAGGGGTTCACCGGTTCCCCGTTCATGACCATCCGTAGCGTTCCTCGCCGCGTCAAACGGTAGATAATCGATTTTTTCCTGATTATTGGGGTGTCCGTAATGGCGGTCAAGGGTAACTCCTTGAAGGAGATGAATTTGATTGTTGTGTATATGTTAGGTATAATGGCTTCCCTCGTATCTGATGGTATATGATAATATTAATAAGGGGATTCTCTAGGACTTGTGTCGTCCTACTACAAGTATGAAATATATTGGCCTACCGGACATCGGGCCCGGTGTACGCAGGCTCGACCTGGAAAACCCCACTCTATCCCATTCGTGCCCAGGATCCCTTCAAACATCCTCAACACCCCCGAACCATATCTGTTGGGAAAAAACGGGGATAGAATTCGCCGTCGTCGGATTTGAATACAGATTTCTTACCAAGAATATCTATGATTAACTGCTGATGGTTAGTACGTAGTAGGATAGTTTGAGCCGAGTCAGTGGTCGTTTCCATATCTGCTTGGGAGCCACGTTTCTTTGCCCTCTGGGGAGGGTTGATAACACCTCAGTGGATTGCAAGATGACCAGAAGTGAGTTCTGTGGTTTAGCCGGTGATATATCGGTGATCCCTTTTTTTTCGGGGGGATTTTTTTTCTTCCCCTTTCCATTGCCTGGAATGCAATTTCTTTTTGGTGGCCAGTTTTTTGAACTGCTCTTGGGTCTTCTATCAAGAGTCTCACTCTTCCAGTTGATGTCAATTGTTCCGTAAGCATATCTAGCCGGTAATGATATCCGTTATGATATGATGAGGACTCCTTGAAATTAGTCCTAGAATGAGGAACCTGGAGAGTGGTGTTAGAAGATGTTAGAATAATTGATAGGCATGTGGAATTGGGATCGGGAGTGTGTGGACTTGTAGCTATACTGTGGAGTCTGGTGTCGCTTATATACTGGATGAGATGTTTGCGTTGAGGATTATGTCCTCACCACAGCACTGACCTGGGTTGTCTGAGGAATGACGATTCCTTCCCACCTCCTTCTGATACTTCGATTCCGCCCGTTTTGCTTTGTCTTTCTACTTCTCTTCTTTAATAACATAGGAATGCGCATATTATCGTTTTCATCTCATCAAGCCCGCTTCTGCAACGTAGTTTTCAACAGATCGAGTCGGGGGAGGCTAGATGAATATCGCGACATCATCTGTGCATGGATAGCCGGAACCTCGATAATTGACGGCGGAAAGTTTTTGTCGGTGTGGTGATCGCATTTGGTGGGATCATTAAATTTTAGCAACAAGGCAGTTGGGGTCATTGGCGAACCTCATATCCTGGTGAAATAGAAACATCTCATTGAAATGCATTACGTCAAGCAAAGGATGATGGAGTACTGTACAGGCCCCTTCTGCGGTGTGCAGTGTAGATACGGTACGTGAAACATTATCCCCAATGGCTAATTTATCATGACTCGAATTCCCGGCGATCGTGGATAGCGCTCGAGATTGTATTTATACCATTTTGTATAATATCGTATAATACCGTATAAAAACCGTATTTTATTTTTAAAAACGTATTTTATTCCGAGTTTCAGAATAGGTATAAAATATTTTATCCAAGATACCATAGCACAGTTATGTAGAAAAAATAGAAATGCTACTTTCAATTGTAATGTAATAATACAAGGTTACAAATATAAGATTGTTGCTAGCTACTACTAAGCACAATTGTTATACCTTGCCCTCTTTGATCCTCTTGCCTGACTTTCAAGTGATTCACTATTGTCAGAATGTTCAAAAGAATTGTCAGTAGCAGATTCCCCTTCCTGGTTTATTTCATGTCCAGTCTCTTCCCCATCTCCATCTTCCTCTAAGTTAGCAAGAATGATAGTAGTAAATTAGGAAATTAAAAAGGGTATTTCTATTAAAAGAGATTATGATTACAATACCTTCATCACTTTCAGACTCAATTGTGTCCTGGAGTCCCACAATAACATCTTCAAGCTCAATTTCCACCTTGCCAGAGAGCTCTTGCCACTGGCATGGTTTATCAGCCTTGTAGTCCAAAACATGATGGTTGAGATAGATATAGGTAAGCTTATCTACTCGAGCAGAGTCAAGCCTATTGTGAACCTTGTTGTGAATCAGATTCTGAGCAGAAAAGGAGTGCTCGCTAGGGACTGAATTGGCTGGGGTATGAAATAATCTAGTCGCTAGTAGGGAAAGTTCTGGAGCAAAGGTATATTGGGCATGCCAGAAAGTAGTGGGGCTAGTGATATTCTATGCAAGATTGTGAGAACTAAATGGCCCATCCTTGTCTCGGTACATGTAATATTGCTCATGGATACGGTTCTGGCTAGGAGGATCAGGGTATGTATTCTGAAGGTATTCAATAATCATGTTTTGCTGCTCAACAGTTGTGGCTACCCCAATATTCGTTGATGTAAGAAAGTAGGCTGTCCAAGGTAGAGCTAAGACTTGATGCTCTATTTGTAACGTGTTCACAGGGTGCTAGTCACGTTATCGGTAATAGATACGAGAGTTGGCAGGTGGCCTGCTCTTCCAGAGAGGAGGTGAGAGCTGAGAGCTAAAGGAGGCTTCGAGGGTGTCCTGGGGAACAAAGAAGTAACCGTTCAACCAAGTATATTGAAATACTGTCTGTTGAAGTCTGCCTTTTCTATCGTAGAAACAGGCGGTCTTTAAATACACAAATCTGTTCATGTCTAGCATGAACGAAACTAATTAAAGGTATCAATCGATACACTTTGGTAAAACTCCTTAAGTATCAAAGCGATACTTAAAACAAAACGTAAAACAAAACCAAGTATCAAATGATACTTAAAACAAGCCAAGTATCAAAGAGATACTTAAAACAAAACATAAAACAAAACCAAGTATCAAACGATACTTAAAACAAACCAAGTATCAAAGCGATACTTAAAACAAAACATAAAACAAAACCAAGTATCAAACGATACTTAAAACAAACCAAGTATCAAAGCGATACTTAAAATAAAACATAAAACAAAACCAAGTATCAAACGATACTTAAAATAAACCAAGTATCAAAGCGATACTTAAAATAAAACATAAAACAAAACCAATAACCGAGTACCTGTACCGGTTACACTATTCTCTTCTCAAATAATCCTCAGATTTCCTGTACAGGAGCATGGGTGTCGGCGATGCGCTGGAGATGGCTGCAAATTGCAAGT